TTGGAAAGCATGGCAGGGGGCAGGTTTTTATATGTGCAGGGCTTTATAAGCAGATGCTGATTTTACTTTTTTAAAATTTATTTTGACATGGAGTCTCATTCTGTCACCTGGACTAGAGTGCAGCAAGGTGGCCTCAGCTCACTGCAGCCTCCACCTCGCGGGCTTAAGTGATTCTCCTGCCTCAGCCTCCCGAGTAGCTGGGACTACAGGCGTGTGCCACCATGCCCGGCTAGTTTTTGTATTTTTAGTAGAGACGGGGTTTCACCATGTTGCCCAGGCTGGTCTGAGACTCCTGACCTCAAGTGATCTGCCCATCTTGGCCTTTCAAGTGCTGGGATTACAGTCGTGAGCCACCACGCCCGGCCCTTAAGCATAAATATTGCTCGGGCTGTTGTGAGGACAGCGGACTGGAGCCAGGAAAGTGACTTGAACCTGGGAGGTTGAGGCTGCAGTAAGCCATGGTAGTGCCACTGCACTCCAGCCTCGGTGACAAAGTCAGACCTCATCTCTAAGCAAATAATAATAACAGAAGAAAATCAATCAATTGGTCATCAATACTTTCACTTTGGGGCTAAAAAAAAGAAAAAATATATTTTTAATACTGCAGAAAGTTCCCTCATGTCCTTTTGCAGAAAATCTCAACTCCCCCACAACCCAGGCAGCAAATCGTTCTAGATTAGTGTTGCTGTTGTTTTCTCTAAGACAGAGTCTTACTCTGTCACCCAGGCTGAAGTGCACTGACACCATCTCGGCTCACTGCAACCTCCACCTCCCAGGTTCAAGTGATTCTCCTGCCTCAGCCTCCCGAGTAGCTGTGATTACAGGTGCCTACCACCAAGCCTGGATAATTTTTTATATGTTTAGTAGAGACGGGGGTTTCACCATGTTGGTCAGGCTGGTCTCGAACTCCTAACCTTGTGATCCACCCGCCTCAGCCTCCCAGTTTTCTGGTATTCCAGGTATAAGCCACCACACCTGGCCTAGTTTGGCTTTTTCTAGAATTTCTTGTAAATATAGTCCTATAGCATGCACTCATTTATGTCTTGCTTTTTTTTTTTTTTGAGACAGAGTCTCACTCTGTTGCTCAGTCTGGATGCAGTGGCACGATCTCAGCTCACCACAACCTCTGCCTCCCGGGTTCGAGCGATTCTCCTGCCTCAGCCTCCAAAGTAGCTGAGATTACAGGCGAGCACCACCATGCCCAGCTAATACTTTTGTACTTTTAGTAGAGACGGGGTTTCACTATGTTGGCCAGGCTGGTCTCAAACTCCTGACCTTGTGATATGCCTGTCTTGGCCTCCCAAAGTGCTGTGATTATAGGTGTGAGGCACCGCGCCCAGGCTCTTGCTGCTTTTTTGCTTTTAAGACTGTTGTGTGTAGTTTTTGCGTCAGTGTTTTACATTGTGTTGCTGGGTAGCATTCCATCGTCTATACCACCATTTGTGCATCTATTCCCCGTCGGGAGATAAGTGAGTTGTTTCCAGTTATTGGCTATTGTACATGGAGCTGCTAGGACTATTCATAAAAGTCTCTGTGAACATGTGTTTTTATCGTTCTTGATTAAATGCCTCAGAGTGGAATTGCTGCATCATACTGTAAGTGCATTTTTTTTTTTGACGGATTCTTGCTCTTTTGCCCAGGCTGGAGTGCAGTGGTGCAATCTCGGCTCACTGCAACCTCCACCTCCCAGGCTCAAGAGATTCACCTGCCTCAGCCTCCCAAGTAACTGGAACTACAGGTGCAGATACCATGCCCGGCTAATTTTTGTATTTTTAGTAGAGATGGGGTTTTGCCATGCTGGCCAGGCTGGTCTCAAACTTCTGACCTCAAGTAACCTGCCTGCCTTGGCCTCCCTGGGATTACAGGGGTGAGCTGCTGCACACGGCCCATATTCTTAACTTTGTCAGAAACGGCTGAGTTGTTTTCCAAATTGCTTGTCTCATATTTTACATTCCCACGAGCCATTTATGAGCGTTTTTGTTGCTTCACATCCTGACCAATATTTGGTTTGGTCAGTATTCTTTTTTTGGTTTTAGCCATGCTGGTGGGTATGTACAGTTTTCATTGTGCTTTAATATTCTTTTCTCTGATGACAAATTATACTTCAGCATCATTCCATGGACTTATTGGCCATTTCTATTTTTTCTTTTGTAAAATGTCAGTTGAAATTTTTTGCACATGTTTAAATTAGGTGAGCTAGACTCAGTGGCTCACACCTTTAATCCCAACACTTTGTGAGGCTGAAGTGGGAGGACTGCTTGATGCTGGGACTTCGAGGCTGCAGTGAGCTATGATTGTGCCACTGCACTCCAGCCTGGGCAATAGAGCAAGACCCTGTCTCAAAACAACAAAAGCAAATAAAAGGGTTTTTTTTTTCTTCTCATTATTGATTTATAAGAGTCCTTTATATACTCCAGAAACATGGTCTTTGTCAGATATATGTGTTGCAAATATATTAATCTTTTTTCCTCCCCCATGGGTTGCCATTTTATCTTCAACGGCCTTGAAGGCAAAGAAGATCTTAATTGTCATAAAGTACAACTTACCAATTCTGTTCTTTTGCAGGTTGGTATTTTTGGTCTATCTAAGTAATCTTTGCCTACTCCAAGTAAGAATAGATTTTCTGTGCACCTGTAGTCCCAGTAACTTGGGAGGCTGAAGCAGGAGGATCATTTGAACCCAGGAGTTTGAGGTTACAATGAGTATGATCTTCTTTGCACTCCAGCCTGGGTGACTCTGTCTCTGAACGAAGAGAGAGAGATTTTTTTTTTCCTAGAGATTCGATAATTTAAGCATTTATACATAGATCCATGATCAAGTTAATTTAGTGTATGGTGTAAGAAAAGGGTTGAGGTTTTTTTTTTTTAATTTTTTAAAATTCAAATTGTATTTTTTTGTTTAAAAATATAATATAGAAATGGAGTCTTGCTATGTTGGCCAGGCTGATCTTGAACTCCTGGGCTCGAGTGATCCTCCCACCCTGGCTTCCCAAAGTGCTGGGATTACAGGCATAAGCCACTACATCTGACCTTTTCTTTTTTGTGTATTTTAGACTTTTTAAAAGAGCAGTTTTAGATTTACAGCAAAACTAAGAGGAAGGTACAAAGACATCTCGTATGCCCTCTGCCCTCAGATATGCATGGATTCCTGATTATCAGCATCAACTGGAATGGTGCATTTGTCACACATGATCAGCCTACATTGACACAAAGTCCATAGATTGCATTAGGGCTCATTCTTGGTGTTGCCCACCCTCTGAGTTTGGACAAGTGTATAATGACATAGATCCATCATTATAGTATAGCACAGAATAGTTGCATTAGCCTAAAAATCCTCTGTGGTCTGCCTGTTCATCCGTCCCTCCCTTCTGCCTCCTGAAAACCACTATTTACTGTCTCAAGAGTTTGGCTTTTCCAGAATGTCATATAGTTGGAATCACCTAGGATGTGGCCTTTTCAAATTGCCTTCTTTCACTTCATACATATTTAAGTTTCCTCCATGTCTTTTCATGGCTTGATAGCTTCTTTCTTTCTCTCTCTCTTTCTTTCTTTCTTTCTCTTTCTTTCTTTCTCTCTCTCTTTCTTTCTTTCTCTCTCTCTCTTTCTCTTTTTTCTTTCTCTCTCTCTCTCTTTCTTTTTCTTTCTTCTTTTCTTTTCTTTTTTTGACAGCATCTTGCTCTGTCACCCAGGCTGGATTGCAGTGGTGTGATCTCAGCTCACTGCAACCTCCACATCCTAGGTTCAAGCAATTCTCCTGCCTCAGCCTCCCAGGTAGCTGGGACTACAGGTGTGTGCCACCATGCCCAGGTAATTTTTGTGTTTTTAATAGAGACAGGATTTCACCATGCTGGCCAGACTGGTCTCGAACTCCTGACCTCAAGTGATCTGCCTGCCTCGGTCTCCCAAAGTGTTGTAATTACAGGCGTGAGCCACCGCGCCAGACCAGATAGCTCCTTTCTTGTTAGCACTGAATAATATTCCACTCTCTGGATATACTGCAGTCTGCTTATCCATTTACCTACCAGGGATGTCTTTACTGCCTCCATGTTTTGACAACTAAATCTAAAGCTGCTATAAACATTTGTGTGCAGGCTTTTGTGTGGACATAAGTTTTCGGCTCCTTTGGGTAAATACCAAGGGCTGTGATTGCTGCATCATATGGTAAGAGAATGCTTAGTTTTATAAGAAACTGCCAAACTGCCTTTCCATCTGGCTGTACCATTTTGCATTACTGCCAGCAACGAATGAGAGCTCCTATTACTCCACATCCCCACCAGTGTTCGGTGTCGTCCGTGTTCTGAACTTCGGTCGTTCTAATAGGTGTGCAGTGGTATCTCATTATTGTTTTAATTTGCATTTCCCTGGTGACGTGTGATTTGAGCATCTTTTCATATGCTTATTTGCCATCTGTGTGTCTTCTTTGGTGAGGCATCTGTTCAGGTCTTTTGCCCATTTTAAAATCGGGCTGTTTGTTTTCTTCTTGCTGAGTTTTAGGCATTCTCTGTATATTTTGAATAACAGTCTTTCATCAGATAAGTCTTTTGCAAATATTTCCTCCTGATGTGTGGTTTGCCTTTTCTTTCTCTTGGCGTATCTTTTTCAGAGCAGAAAATTTTAATGTTAATAAAGTCCAGCTTATCAATTCTTATCTTCAGGGATCATGTCTTTGGTGTTGTATCTAAAAAGTCATCATGAAACACTCAGCCGTCCAGATTTTCTCTTACGTTACTGTCTAGGCGTTGCATAGTTTTACATTTTACATTCAGGTCTATGATCCTTTTTGAGTGAACTTTTGTGAAGGGTGTAAAGTCTGTGTCTAGAATCATTTTATTTTTTGGGATGGGGATGTCTAGTTATTCCAGCAGCCTTGTTGAAAAGACGATCTGTGTTCCATTGCATCACCTTTATTCTTTTTCTTTTTCTTTTTTTTTTTTTTGAGACGGAGTTTAGCTCTTGTTACCCAGGCTGGAGTGCGATGGTGCAATCTTGGCTCACCACAACCTCTGCCTCCCGGGTTCAAGCAATTCTCCTGCCTCAGCCTCCCGAGTAGCTGGGACTACAGGCACGCACCACCGTGCCTAGCTAATTTTTTTGTATTTTTAGTAGAGACAGGGTTTCACCATGTTGACCAGTATGGTCTCGATTTCTTGACCTCGTGATCCACCCGCCTCGGACTCCCAAAGTGCTGGGATTATAGGCGTGAGCCACCGCGCCCGGCCCACTTTTACTCCTTTTCAAAGATCAATTGACTGTATTTATGTGGGTCTATTTCTGGGCTTTCTATTTTGTTCCATTGTAAAGAGCTGACATCATGGCAATATTGAGTCTTCCTGTTGGTAAATATGGAATCTCTCTCCATTTATTTAGTTTTCCTTTGGTGTCTTTCATGAGAGTTTTATAGTTTTCCTCACATAAAACTGTTACATGTTTTCTGAGATTTGTACCTAAGTATTTCACTTTTGGGGGTGCTAATGTAAATGGTGCTATGTAATATGTTTTAATTTCAAATTTAAAAAGAAAAAAGGCCAGGTGCGGTGGTTCATTCCTATAATCCCCACACTTTGGGAGGCCGAGGTAGGTGGATTACCTGAGGTCAGGAGCTTAAGACCAGCCTGGTCAATATGATAAAACTCTGTCTCTACAAAAAATACAGAAATTAGCTGGCCATAGTTGTGGGCACCTGTAATCCCAGCTACTTGGGAGGATGAGGCAGGAGAATCGCTTAAATCCAGGAAGCAGAGGTTGCAGTGAGCCAAGATCATGCCACTGCACTCCAGCCTGGGTGACAAGAGCAAAACTCTGCCTCAAAAAACACCACCACCACCCACAAATTTTATTTGTTCATTGGTGGTATATAGAAAAACAATGGACTTTTGTATACTAACATTGTATTCTGCAACCTTTGTAAAATTACTTATTAGTTCTAGTTATTTTGTCGATGCTATTGGATTTTCTACATGGATAATTATGTCATCTGAGCTGGGCGTGGTGGCTAATGCCTGTAATCCCAGCACTTTGGGAGGTATACTGGCCTCATAGAATGAATTAGGAAGTATTCCCTTTGCTTCTATCTTCTGAAGGAGATTATAGAAAATCGGTGTAATTTCCTCTTTAAATGTTTTGTTGAGGCCAGGCGAAGTGGCTCACAGCTGTAATACCAGCACTTCAGGAGGTCAACGCGGGCAGCTCTGGAGGTCAGGAGTTTGAGACCAGGCTGGCCAGCATGGTGAAACCCCGACTCTAATAAATATACAAAAATTACCTGGGCATGGTGGCATGGGCCTGTAGTCCAATCTACTCTGGAGGCTGAGGCAGGAGAATCGCTTGAACCTGGGAGGCAGAGGTCGCGGTGAGCTGAGATTGCACCATTACAATCCAGCCTGGGTGACAGAGGAGACTCTGTCTCAAAAAAAAAAAAAAAATGTTTTATTGAATTCACCTCTAAACCCATCTGAGCCAGGTGCTTTCTGTTTGAGAAGTTACCAATTATTGATTCAATTTAAAAAATAAATATAGGCCTATTTAGATTATTCATTTCTTCTTGTATAAGTTTTGGCAGATTGTGTCTTTCAAGGAATAGGTCCATTTCATGTAGGTTATCAAATTTATAGAGTTGTTCATAGCATTTCATTATTATCCTTCAAATGTCCATGAAGTATGAAATATGTCATTTTTGACATTAATAATGTGTGTTCGTTCTCTTTTTTTCTTAACTTGGTTAGAAGCTTATCAATTTTATTGAACTTCTCTCCTTTTTTTTTTTTTTGAGATGGAGTCTCATTCTGTCTCCCAGGCTGGAGTGCAGTGATGTGATCTCGGCTCACTGCAACCTCTGACTTCTGGGTTCAAGTGATTCTCCTGCCTCAGCCTCCTGAGTAGGTGGGATTACAGGCAGTCGCCACCATGCCCAGCCAATTTTTATATTTTTAGTAGAGACAGGGTTTTACCTTGTTGGCCAGGCTAGTCTCAAACTCCTGACCTCAAGTGATCTGTTGCCTTGGCCTCCCAAAGAGCTGGGATTATAGGTGTAAACTACCACGCCTGGCCTTATTGAACTTATCAAAGCATTAGCTTTTGGTTTGATTGATTTTCCCTATTGATTTCTTGTTTTTCATTTCCTTGATTTCTGCTGTAATTGTTTTTCTTCTGCTTACTTTAGATTTAATTTTACTCTTTAATTAATACTCTTTCTAGTTTCCTAAGGCGTAAGCTTACATTAGTGATTACAGAGCTTTCTCCTTTTCTAATACATGCGCTCAATGCTATTTATTTCTCTTTAAGCACGGTTTTACTGCATGTCACACATTTTGATAAGTTGTATTTTCATTTTCATTTAGTTCAGAACGTTTTAAAATTATCTCTTCAAGAATTCTTCTCTGACCCATTTGTTAATTACAGATGTGTTAATTTCCAAGTATTTCGGGATTTTTCCAGCTATCTTTCTGTTATTAATTTTTAGTTTAATTTAATTGTGGTTGGAAAGCAGGCATTGTATAACTTCTGTTTGTAAAATTTTGTTAAGATACTCTTTTATGGCCCAGAATCTGTCTGTCTTGGTGAGTGTTTTATGTGAACTTGAGAAAAATGTGTAATCTGCTGTTGCTGGATGAGGTAGTCAATAGTTGTCCCTCTGTCCAGTGAATTGATGGTGTTGTTGAATTCACCTATGTTCTTACTGATTTTCTGCTTGCTGAGCCTATTTCTGATAAATTGGTGTTAATGTCTCCAACTAGAATAATGGATTAATCACTTATCCTTGTATTTCTGTTAGTTTTACCTCATGTGGTTGGACACTTTGTTGTCAAGTGCAAATATATTAGATTGTTATGTCTTCCTGGAGAATTGTTCCCTTCCCAGCGGCACGATATCGGCTCACCGCAACCTCCACCTCCCGAGTTCAAGTGATTCTCCTGCCTCGGCCTTCCAAGTAGCTGGGATTTCAAGTGTGAGCTGCCACCACACTCGGCTAATTTTTGTTGAGATGGGGTTTCACCAGGTTGGCCAGGCTGGTCTCGAACCCCTAAGTAATCCACCCACCTCGTCCCCGCAAAGTGCTGGCATTGCAGGCAAGAACCACTATGTCCAGCCACCATTCTGTTCTTAACATCGCCTGCCCTACGGGAAACCATGTTAGCAGAGCATAACCTTCTTGGCTCTATCAGAGCCTAACTGACCTTGGGAAAGGAAATGCCCAACTCCAGCCCCCCTCCAATCATCCTGTCCCACCTAAGGAGGGAGGGAACTGAAGCACTGGTGAAGTTCACAGTTCAGGGGCACAGGCTCACCGAAGGACTGAAACCTAACCGCAGGTCTACAGAGTGCTTCTCCTCTCTCCACACCTAACCACCACAAAACTAAAGGCCTATGTACCACTGGTCCTTTTACTCACTACAACATGCCTGGTGATCAAGAAAAGAATTACAACCCATACCAAAAGAAAAAACACAGTTTGAAGAGACAGAATAAGCATCAGAGCTAGATGAGGCAGAGATGTTGGAATTATCAGATCAGGAATTTCAAACATCTAGGATTCATATGCTAAGGGATCTAATGGATAAAGTAGACAGCATACAAGAACAGATGAACAATGTAAGCAGAGAGATGGAAAGTATAAGAAAAATAAACAAAAAGATACGCTAGAGATCAAAAGCACACTTATAATCACAGCTACTCGTAAGAGAAATTAGGAATAAACCTGATAACTTGATGGGCTTATTAGTAGGCGGGAAACACCTGACAAAAGAATCTCTGAGCTTGAAAACATCCCATTAGAAATCTCTGAAACTGAAAACAAAAAGAGACTGAGAAAAAACACGGAGCATTCAAGAACTGTGAGAAAACCGCAAAAGGTATAACATGTACGCAATGACAATACCAGAAGGAGAAGAAACAGAGCTAGGAACAGAAGAAATATTTGAAACAACAATGACTGAGAATTTCCCCCAAATGAATGCCAGATACCAAACCACAGGTCCAGGAAGCACAGAGAATAGCAAGCCGGATAAATACCAAAACAAAACAAAAAATGCCTTGGCATACCATATTTAAATTACATAAAATTCAAAGATGGGCCAGGCATGGTGGCTCATGCCTGTAATCCCTGCACTGTGGGAGGCCGAGTTGGGTGGATCAGCTGAGGTGAGGAGTTTGAGACCAACCTGGCCAACCTAGTGAAACCCCTTCTCTACTAAAAATACAAAAATTAGCTAGGCATGGTGGCTCACACTTGTAATCCCAGCTACTAAGGAAGCTGAGGCATGAGAATCACTTGAACTTGGGAGGTGGAGGTTGCAGTGAGCCGATACTGTACCACTGCACACCAACCTGAGCAACAGAGTGAAACTCCACCTAAAAAAAAAAACGATAAAAAAGTAAATGGATGGAAAAAGATATACCATAACACCAATCAGAAGAAAACAGGAGTCACTATATTGGTTTCAGACAAAGCAGAATCACAGCAAGGAAAGTTTTCAGGGATAAAGAAGGGCACTACATAAGGACGAAGTTTTGCTCTTGTTGCCCAGGCCGGAGTGCAATGGGGCAATCTCAGCTCACTGCAACCTCTGCCTCCCAGGTTCAAGTGATTCTCATGCCTCAGCCTCCTGAGTAGCTGGGATTACAGGCATATGCCACCACACCCAGCTAATTTTGTATTTTTAGTAGAGACAGGATTACACCATGTTGGCCAGGCTGGTCTCGAACTCCTGACCTCAGGTGATCCACCTGCCTTGGCCTCCCACTGTGCTGGGATTACAGGTGTGAGCCACCGCACCTGGCCTTGCTGTTTTCAATGTACACATTTTGTACATCTTTCATCAGATTTATTTTCAAGTATTAAATATTTTTCTAAATCATTAAATGTTTTTTTTTTTTTTTTGAGATGGAGTCTCACTCTGTAGCCCAAGATGGAGTGCAGTGGTGAGGTCTCTGCCCACTGCAACCTCTGCCTGCCGGGCTTAAGCGATTCTCATGCCTCAGCCTCCTGAGTAGCTGAGACTACATGTGCGCACCACCATGCCTCGCGAATTTTTTGTATTTT